GTTAAAAATAACAACTATAAATAATATTAAACCATATATAATATTTAATTTTATTGATGTGTAACCCGCGAGTAGAAGTCATTCAAATGATTGAGATTATGATGTTATAATAGATTTATATATTATCATATAATTCAAAATAATCAATATATTATATCCAATTAATATACGAATTATTATATTAAATTTAACAACGTTAGTGTTATATTTTAAAAAATATATATTTGTAAAGACTTCAACTATTTAAGTGTTTCTGCGCATTACAATATCAACTCAAATATAAATTTTAGTTACATTTAAAAAAACTAAGGAATATTTTGTAAATAATTAAAAGTGATAAATTGTAGTAATAAAAGCAAAAACTAAATTGTAATCTCAATTTAACTAAAATATTTCTTAAATATATTTTTATAATCGTTAAAAGTTTCCAAATAAGTAGCTTAAAATAACTTACAATAACAATAGTTTAAAACAACTTTATATAAATGATGATATTATTAGCTTTAAAATAAAAAAAACAACGTTTGATGTTTTAAATAATTATAATGATAGAAATTAAAACATTAAGCAAATAAATTTTAAAAAATTAATTAACAATAAAACAACTATAAATAACATCAAATCATATATTATATTTATTTTTATTCATGTGTAACTCGCGGGTAGAAGTCATTCAAACGATTGAGATTATGAAGTTATAATAAATGTATATTTTATCATATAATTCAAAATAAACATTATATTATATCAATTTAGTATATACAAATTATTATACCAAATTTAACAACGTTATTGTTATATTTCAACTATATAAGTGTTTCTGCGCAACGCACGAGCATTCGCTTACTTCTAAATATAAATGAGGCTTTTGAAATAGGGAAAGCGGGAATTATAAAATAGCATATAAAAAACTACATTAATATTTAATGTATGATTGAAGATATAAACATATAAATTATAGAGTATAAGATCTTGAACCTGCAAGCCTTTAATAAGGGAAAATTTTGTTGCATCTCAAGACTTCCTTAAATCCTTTATTGAGGATAAAGATGAACTCCTCTTGATCATGTGTTGATGTCAACATGTTAATAGAAAATATGAACGGATTTGAGAATGAAAGAAAAACCAATCGACAAGCAATAAACAGAAAAAAGGTGAGAGTGCATCACAATGAATTTATCATAAGTGCATTGCTATAATTGGTGCAAAAACACCCTTTATGCAGTGAAAATTCGCATAAAGGTATAAATGTGCTGTTGTTGTCGTATAATGTAAAGTTTAAAATGACCAAAATAATAATTTTAAATTTTTTGACTGATTGAAATAAACAAATTGAGGGCTTTGACAAAAATAGCCTTAAACGGTCAACTTGACTAAGGACTAACTGTGTTCTTTTATGACTAAAATTCCAAATTTAAAATGAACATAATACTAATTTCTTAATGTTTTACCTAATTGAAATGAGAAAAATGGAGAAAATGGTCATTTGGACTCAAATGAAAAAATTAGACTTAAATGGTAAAATGATGAAAACGGTTAGTAGGTTGTTATTTTAACAAATTGTCTAACTTGGAAAATATATCAGAATAGACTACTAATTTGAAAACTATCACTTTTACCAATAAACATAAAATTTTCCATTTTGGTCATTATATAATGCTTCGAAAAAATTGAAGTACCATTTTTACTTTATAAAAGTATGTAAGACATTAGGGTATCAATGTGGAAACAATCAAATGAATTAAGTGGTTTTTGACTACCATTTTTGTAGATGACAATGGATTCAGGTGCATAACTTTAAAGAAACATCAACACATCTATATTCACATTCAAATTCCTTAAATTTATTTAAAATTTCTAAATCTAGGGGAGTAATTCCCGATAAAAACTACAATAAAACAATTATAAAACATACAAACAATGGATTACTATGATTGGTAGTTCTATCCTAGACAAGTATTTGTCCAAGGAACTTCATAATTATGAATATGTTGCATCAATTTCTACTCCTTATGTGCTCGACACAAGTAAAATATCTTATATGAGTCCAGAGAGATATTGGGTCAAACAGAAACGTAAAGCTCGGGTATTAGACATGGTTGTTTTTGGATTGGTTGAACTTCTTAATTGTGATAAAAAAATAAAAAAAAATAAGAAGTAGAAATATGAAAAATAACGTTGTTAAGGTAGATTAAATAAAAGAAAAAGTAAGGGATAAAATCATTAGATCAAACCTGAGACTGAGAATCGATGCACAAAAAGGGGTGTAAGTTTAAATCTGGTGTAGTAAAGAAAACAAACATAAACCATTTGCTGATAAAACCTAGTACTCCTTCTTTTTCAAAGTTCATCGTCTGCAATTGCAAAAAATAATAAAAATCATACATATTTTGAGATTTATGTCTTCAGCAGTCAATTTCATTTTTTTTCTCTGTACAAATCTGAAACATCAAAACATCTAAGTTTCACCACAGACAAGAGATTTCGTTTAGCACGTGAGGGTTAATGGGGGGAATTCATAACGATCAACAAATCAATTATAAATCACTGATTATATGAAATTATCAATAAAAAACTAAACAATGAAAACCTTTTGCTAATTATTTGGAAATATGTTACCTGTAACATGTAGCACACTACTTTAGGTTGAATCGATGAATGATAGAGCTTGTTGGCAGAGAAGGATCATCGGTGGTGTAATGTTGCAATGGTGGAGCCAAATTAGGGTTAAGGGTTCTGTGATGTTAGGTTACGAATGGATTACGATTTTCAAAACTTTGAAAATCGTAAGAGTGCATAACTCTTCAAAACAAACGGTGTTTGACTTATTATCTAGTCAATATGATTTCAACAATTTGATCTAAGGATAAATATTGACTAGATAATAAGTCAAACACCGCTGTTTTGACTTATATTTATTGTGTGCTAGAATGCACCAATATGAATTTAATAACTTAAATAATTATTTAATTAAATAAAGATAGATATTAAATGATTTCTATAATTGTATACATATTAAATGATATCCATAATTGTAATTCTGTTTTTATGGAAAGTAATTAAATTCATCGTTAATATCAACAATAACATTCTTTCAGAATGAATTCGCATATAGGTTTTTATGTATGGGCTCGTTTTTTTTTTCACTACTCACTCACTTCAAATACAATAAAGTTGCATAGAATATGAAGAGCAAGAGTGAATTCTACTAGAATACACTTTCATTCCGCTAGAATACACTATCATTCTTCTAGATACGAATTCATTCTGAAAGAATATTATTGTTGACATTAATAATGAATTTAATTAGTTTTCATAAAAAGGAATTATAAGTATGGATATCATTTAATATACATATATTTTTTACTAAATTCTTATTGGTGCATTCTAGCACACAATAGAAGTAAAAAGCATTTGAACCTGCCTCTCTCTCTCTCTCTCTCTCTCTCTCTCTCTCTATATATATATATATATATATATATATATATATATATATATATATATATATATATATATATATATAAAGGTAGGTAGGTAGGTAGAAGTTCATTTGAGATGGACCTACTTAAAATATAGTTAAGGCCCTTTACTGGATATGTGAAAATAGTTGATTTGGTTTACGATCATTTTGGAGTAGAACACAACAAAAACCTAAAAGGAAGGGATAGTTACATTTGACTTTTTGTTCAACTTCAGCAAAAAAAAATTCTACTTAGTCTCTATCTTAAATATTTCTGGTGAAATCCTGTTCCATAGTTGGTATTCAAAATGTAATATATAGGTTTTAAATTAGTCTAAACTGAAAGATTGTTACTGCAAGTTTAACACTCCTTCTGAATTGGTCCAAATCGTTTTTTATGTCAAGTTGAAACATGTTGTTAGTTTTGTCTAGTAGAGATTACCTATAGTAATTGTTTATAGTTTCTTTTTTCATAATTGTAGGTTATCGTTGATCGTATTCATGAAGAGATGAACGAAGTACTTAAGGCAAAACATGAAGAAATAAAGGATGAACTAATGGCTGAACATGAAGAAATTGAGGGTAAAAACAAGAAATCATTAGGGTATCTAATGAAATCCTAATGTTTACCCAATGAACTAACATACCGATCTAATTAGACTTTCATATTTTTTGCTTTTCTAATATGACTTCAATACTTTGAAATCGAATATGAATCTTTATTTTAGTAGTTCAATATTAGTGTTTTGGTTTTGGAAGTTGAATACTAATGTTTTGAAACTAACTATTAATATTTGATTTGGTTTTGAAATACAAAAAGTGAATTTCATTTGTGAATTTTTGTTATAGATTAATGAAAACTTTTATACCTAGTATACTATTGCTAATTATAATAGGAACACCAATTAGAAGCAAAAGAATTGTTGATAATGAAGGATGTCGTTAACAAATTATAGTATTCGTTACGCATGTGCTTGCTTTACATATACGATTGGTTGTATGTTGCTAATTTAGCATCACTTCATTTAATTAGTTACCAGAACCCTTGAAAATACAAACAGGTTATATAAATGACAAAATTGCAAAAATGGTCCTTGTGATATACTAATTTTTGGGGTTTTAGTCAAAACCTCGAGTTTTTTGGATTCATGGTCATTTTGGAGTGGTTTGTATGTGGAATTGGTCCCCGGACTTAACTTCCGTTAAGTTGTTGCTGTTAACCTCCTCATGTGCCTCCAATATGAGGGTATATTTGTCTTTTCACTTCTAAGGGACCATTTTTGCACTGAAAAAAATATATCCCCGTTTAAAAAAGATATCTATTTATTTATTTTAATAATTAAAAAAATAAAAGAGGTCTCTGTGTGTGTGTGTGACCACCATTGAAGCTACTCGACAGCCCCAAACATCTCCCACCCTTACTCCTTCCTCCCCTAGTCTCTCACGTGTCGACCTCGCTGGAAGAAATAAATAGAAGTAGCGGGGAGTTGCCGGAGCGAGCACCACCGGCTGCCACTATCGTTCTCAGTCCACTCCGCCATCACCCTATCGTGACCCACTGCTTCGATCGCCTTCCTTCTTTCCTTGACGATCGATGCCGGACGAACCCATTAGAAGAGGAGGAGGTGACGGAGCCACCTGCTTCTGTTACCCACTTGGGTTCAAGGTGTTTGTTGTTATAGAGAAGGGAGGGAGCGGAGATGGCTACCTCCCTGTAGGAGTCGGGGGAGAAACAACAACAAGGTAGCATCAGGTAGTGGCTGTGGGAGGTGATGATGGCTCCGACGGACTCCTACTGTTTCGTTTCGGCTTCTGGTTGACGAAACTTTGAGTGGAGATGGAAGTTCGATTTGCTACATTTGAATTTCGATTTGTTGGGTTTTTACAAAATCATAACAGGTTCCAAAATCATAATATGTTCAAAATCGAAATAGCCACCGACTTCATCTTCCATGGATTAAAGTTGCTATTAATTAGCTGGGTTTTCTTATAGGCTTCATTTTTGGGTTTTCGATATGCTATGTTTGCCATTTGTCTTCTGGGTTTACAAAAATGAAGATGGGGGACGTTGCAGGTTTTATTTGAGAGAGAGAGAGAGAGAGAGAGAGAGAGAGACCTCTTTTATTTTTTAATTATTAAAATAAATAAAACAAATAAGTATTTTTTTTTTTAAAAAGGAGATATATTTTTTCAGGTGCAAAAATGATCCTTAGAAGTGAAAAGACAAATATACCCTCAGCTGCTGGAAATACTTCATTTACTGCCTCAATCAAACCCTACATAAGTCACATTAATGTTTGAAATTCGAATAGCAATAACTAAATTTAGAACATGCAATAGTTTTGAACCATACCTTGTGTTGATCCGAAATTAGAACCAAACCGTTACCATCATTCCAACATTGCAAATCTTCTGAAAGAGTTTCTAAGAACCATTTCCAATTCTCTTTGTTTTCCACAGAAACAACTGCTCAAGCAATTGAGAATATTCCATTGTTAGCATCTCTACCCACAGCACAAAGCAACTCCCCTTGACAAAAAGTTTTTAGAAAACAACCATCCAGGTTAATGATCCTCCTACATCCTCCCCTCCATCCCTCTTTTACTGAAGCAAAACATATGTATATTTTGCTGAAATAATTCTTACCATCAGGCATTGAATCAACACAAATTTTAACTGTGGATCCAGGATTTGATCTTCTAATCTCCTCACTATATGACCATAATTTTGCATAATTCTCTGCTATTGTCCTTTCAACTAGACTCAATGCATACTTCTTGGCTCTCCTACACTGACTCATACTCACGTTAATCCCAAAATCTGTTTTTACCTCCTCTCTAAGCATTCAGATGCTCATCTTTTGATTGTTATATAAATGGTGCTTAAAGTGGGTCCCTATCCATTTGTAAGTCACAATTGATCCAAATTTGAAATTCTTTGCACAATTATGCTCACTGATAAGTCTGGAAAGACTTATCTTCACTCATCCAAGAACCCCAAAGCCTAAAAGTACATTTCCCATCACAGCATTTGACAAGTAATCGTCTAGTATCACTCTTAACAAAACATAATTGATAACCATTCGCGACAGCATAGTTACAAAGCATGTGTTTCAATTGCTTAGGACTCTCAAACCTCATACCTAAAATAGGTTCCTGCTCCTTCCAATTGAGCTTATCATTGAAAATGTTTGGCAATTCGGGATAAGCATCTTCATTGTCACCCATGTCTTCTTCGAAAAACTCACCTGCACCTGCTTTCTCACCCATCTCTACCTGAATCTCAATACCCTTTATAAAAAATGAGGCTTCTGATGGTCATCCTCATCGCCATCGACATCCTCATCCTCGTCGTCATCATCACCGCCATTCTCTACCTCATCGTTTGTATCACCCACATCCCGATACCCTGGTGCAACTTCCTTAACCAGTCCTGCACCATCAAGTACTTCTTCCTCAACGTTACCAACAAACTCGTCTTTGTGTTCATCCAACCATTCCTGTATGTTACTATCCCCAAAATGGTTTACATACATAGGGAGTATAACACCACATTCATATGCAATTTCAATGAAGTCGTAATAATCGGGGTCATTGCAAATTAGAGTCAAACCTTTTGGAAAATCAATATCAGGTTGGCAGTAATAGAGCTTCTCACACTTTTCCCCAGTGAACCTTTCGATGAACGCAACACACCCATCCTTATCCATTCCTGCGAAATCGATGTCCGAAAACCTCTGAGTAATTCCACCGGTGTAGCGTATGGGGTTTCTGGCGAACATTCCTTGGAAGTGGACATCTACTTGTAAGAATACGGGTTTCATGCTTGAGGATTCAGAAGTAGCTCACAAAAAAGGGTTTACCGATGAAGTGTTGAATAGTGGATGTAAAAGGGCTCTTTTATAAAGCATATACCGACATTACGAAGGAGGCGACTAATTAATGACATGGCATTAGACGAAAGTCACAGTCAGCATCCGATGTGGTGTTAGTAGAAGGATGTGGACTTAACATGACCGGCTAACCCCTTCAAAATTGAAATAAGGACTTAATCGACCCAACAAAGAGTAATTCGTTCCCTTATTAAGCCACAAAATAAGTTAAGTGGCTAAATGGGTGAACCCTAGGAACATTATAGGGTCTATACGTCATTTCCCCTTTTTTATTTTCTAATTTCCTATTTTTTTAAGTAATGTAATGGTTTTTATTTTTAATTAATGAAATATTATGTTTTTATTTAAAACTATGAATTTTATTTATTTAAAAATAAAAATAATTTAAAGGAGTGTGACACCACTCCTTGAGTGTGGTATCAAACCACACTTTTGTGGTAATGGGTGAGGTGACGCTTACGTGTCACTTCGGTTTCATAAAGGAGCGCGGCATCATTCCCTCCAGCCTTATAGGAAACGGTTCTACTAGAAGCAAAATGTCATATAGGTTTTATCAAGCGCAGTGGCAAAGAGACTTTCATAACTGGCTCACATTCATTGACTTTACATTTGGCACGATTGTGATGTCGGGTCATATACTTCATTCTAGCCATGTTATATGATCATCCTGGATGTAGTAGTGAACGAAATATTTTGCACGAATTTTTTAGCCTCCAAAATGCTTAGAATAACATTTCTAATTCTACTTTTATATTCTTATCGACCCAAGATGAAACAATTAATTCATAGGGAAGAAACAACTAGATATTATTCAATGATGTACATCCTTACATGAATTTAATCAATTACTCACTATAACAAATCCAATGTTAAGTTGTAAAAAAAAACAATTTAGATCCGTCAAACTTCAATTGTTGAGAAAAATTGATTGAAATGTGTCAAGAAACGGAAGCTTTAACATTTTGGAAGATCAGCCGGTGGAGGTAAGAGCTTTTGGTTAGGTAGTTCTCCATCCAAGACGAGCCATGCCATCTTCAAACCCCAACCGGTATGAACTTCCAAATGACAATGCATGAACCATACCCCTGGACAATATATACGAAGAATAATATATCAATAACAAACTAAAATACATCATATATATATATGCACCACATGCAAGAAACCAAACTGAAATTACATGCATGAGTAACAAACCTGGGTTGTCCGCTAGAAATCGTATAGCAACCCACCCACCAGAAGGCACACCAACCGTGTTTCTTTCGATAGGGTCCACAAGATTGAAGTTCTTAGGGTCCTTCTTAGGATCGTAGTTTCCAAACCCTTGACCAACAACAAAGAAATTGAAGCCATGGAGATGAAGAGGGTGGCTTTCAGCACCAAGAATGCTGGTATCTTGCATCACCAACTCCACACTAGTATTAAAAGGAAGAACCATGAGTTTTGTACCATTGCTCACAAAGGTGTTATTTGGAGGAGTTCCGGTATAATTAAACCAATGCAATGGGTTGATTGGGAAATAAGGACTATAAACACCCTTCGATTTATTAAAGAAGTGGGACTGGAGAAGGGCAACACTTGGTTGTACGAACGACACATTATTTATGGATGCAGCGAATCTATTCCCATTCGGTCCTTGGCAAGTTCTATTTTGCGCACAAGGGGTCGTCCCAAGTCCTACTGTGAAAAATAAATGTTTGTCGATCTTCTGTGGGACATTAGCAGGAAATTTAGAGTTTGCTAAGCTTCGAAGTCTATTTGAAAACTTTGACACGAATGAAGTGTCATTTAAAGATGGTAATGTTGGTGTAAAGAGTGGAAGATTTTTCATCGGAACAGGCGACTCATATTCGAGAATACCAGCAACTGTGGAATTGTCGAAGGTTCCTTGACCCGTTACATATGGTCTAGCGGACATGAGAAAGTTGGCACCTGGAAATTTGGATTTGGTTTTAAGGAGGACGTTGGTGGTTTGACCAGGAGATAGTATAAGCGTTTCAGTTTTGAAAGGTTTTACATAAATGGCATCAGCCTCAACAACAGTGAGGGTGTGGTTTGCTATGCTAAAAAAGAGTTCATCATTGAGTGCTGCGTTGATCAGTCGAAAGAGGTACGTCTTCCCCGTCTTTACCTTCAGCTTGAATGTGTCTGCAGATTTCATGAGTCATATATGGTTTCTTTCAATACATATGTATACACGTATTCTATATAACACTGGTTTTCATTTCCGGGGTGTACGTGTACATATACCTATGTAACAAATGCTAGAAATACGCTACCTTTAGCAGAGCAATTGTACAAAGGTCCGGGAAGCCCATTGAAGGTATAGGCATCGGAAACATTTGGACCCCCACCGGTTTGTGTTGCTTGCGAAATTATAGCCTCTGGATCAGTATTGAACCACTCTCCTATAGACATACGAAATTGTAATTACTCTCATGCATGCAAAACTAATGTAATGAAGTACAACATAGCTACAAGCTTAGAGAGTAAAAGATTCAACAACGTATGTTCGTAGTTTTACCAAAGATGATGGGAACTTCTTTATAGGGCTTGGTAAAAGGGTAGGGGACATTAAGCTTTGGCAGAATGATGAGAGGGCCATAAACACTTGCTCGTAACCATGATATATGTGCATGCCAAAACAATGTTCCTCTTTGTCCAATAACAGTGTAGTTGTACACATAACTCTGGCCAGTTTGTATGGGGCATTGAGTTATGTAGGCTGGCCCATCGGCCCATCCACTCCGAAGTTGTCTAATACCATGCCTGTGTACGTATATAGCATGCATCAGAATCATATATAGTACAATGAGATTGTATCTAAAGTAATAATAATATATATGTTATAGAGCGTTAGAAAATACAAAATGTACAGCTCTTAATTATACCAATGGATTGTAATGTTACTGGAGACATGGTTAGTAACTTTTATAAGAAGCCGATCACCCTCTCGAGCGACAATACGTGGACCTGGATATTTTCCATTGACCGTAACCATGCTTTTTGTGTGGCACAGTCGTGTCACGTTTTGCAGCTCGATCTGCATGTAAACATAGATAAAGATGTTGGACTACAAGAAAGATTAGCGTCATGGATATATTGTATTTAATGAGACATACGTTAAACTCATAGCTCCTGGTAGTTCCACCAATTGTATACATAGGAAGCAGTGAAGTTATTGCTAACAATAACAAGAAAATTCCACCCATATCTTTGTCTATCTCTTTCGTTGAAGAAGCTGAAAGCTTTTGCTGCTGCATGAACCCAGCTATGAAATCTGAACATATATATAGGTTGATGTCTAAGGATGATTTTGGCAGAGTCAACAACTATTTCTATTGCATCACCAACCTTTGTTAAAATGCAACTTTAGAGTGCTATCAAAGAGATCATATCCATCTGTCCTTTCAAAACCTTTCCTTTGTCGTAAGGACTAGGTCCCAAACTTAATTGAATATAACATAATACTTTATCTAGTCAAATTGTTAAAAATAAACCTAGTTTTAAAACCACCTACTAGAAAACTTGAAAAGCTGAAAATACATAATTAACAATATATGTTTTATCCATTATTTTCGGGGATGGAGTAAGCCACCGATTTGTTCCTTGTTGCTTACATGAGGAGAAAATAGCAAATACAACAAATACGTACTAACAGAAATAACTCAAATAAATCAATTAATGTAATACATACACATAAAAAATTACAGTTACGATCAGGTGATCAATTTGATTATCTATAGGCTAGTAAAATATTACCTGTTCCTTTCAAACAATCTTTTCTTTAGGCCATCTCCAATGCATTGAACTCTTAAGAGTTCAATGGATTGCCACATCAGCATTCCACTAACTATATCATTTAACCTATTAAATTCTACACTCCATTCAACTCTTAAGAGTTCAATGGATTTCCACATCATCATTTTAATTTTTTTATAAATAATATTAATAAATAAAACTAGAATATTACATTAATTAGAAATTCAAAGTTACAATTACTAAATATTAATTAAAGATTACAATTTAGAAATTAAAAGTTACAAATAATACACTAAATAAAAAGTACGATATCTAAAATACAAATTTTACTTCATATTGTATTTTATCTTAATCTCGTCACAACGATTTCTCCAAATTTCACGTCCATCTTCCGACATGGTAGTGGGATCCATGAAAATGATTGAAATTTCATCATTCTTTACCTTTTCTTCTTTAATCTTCATCTTTCTTTCTTTCAATGCATTTTTCATATCCAAAGAGTTTTGATAGCGTTCAAAAGTCTTTTTATTTTCTTCTATATGTTTTTCAAGTATTTCATCAAGCCTATTACCAGATGACGAAGTGGAATTGGTAGCTTTCCCTTTTGCTGCTTTTTTTGCTGCATTCCTACCAATTGGACGAGTTGTAACTTCATCATTATCCAGGTTAATGAAAGATTCCGTATTTGATGAAGACATAGATGCCCCAGATGCAGTGAACCTTTCCATTTATGTTCATTTTTAACGATATTCCAAATATGTTCGTGCCTAAAATCGGCACCATATCTAGCATGATAATGCTCAAAAGTTGCACGTTTGAGATCATCCTCAGACCATCCACTGAGGTGTTGACTTTTCAACACTATATACATTTGATTAAATGCAACTGCAAATGGGTTCATGTAATGCCAATGCGTTTTGAGGTTGGCTTGAGTTCTTGCAACGTTCGACGTGTTGCTTTTTTCATAGTATGCAGTAGTTCGTCTCCAGAACTCTTTATCACGTTGTTGACTTCCAGTAATGCTATCTTCTGAAATTTGTAGCCAAGCTTTTGCCAACAACATTTCTTCTTCTTTGCTCCAGTAGTTTTTTTTTTTTTTTTTTTTTTTTTTTTTTGTCGTTTGTTGGTAGGAGTTTCTGTTGGTGTTGGCTCATTTTCTGGAATATGGGGAGGATCCAGGCTGGTAGAATCTTGGTATGCATTTTGGTATGAATGTTGTGAATGATTATTTGGATTTGGGTATGGATATTGCGGATAATTGTTTGGACTTGGATATGGATATTGTAGATGATTGTTTGGATTTGGGTATGGATGTTGTGGATGATTGTTTGGATTTTCGGGATCATAAGAAGATAACAAGTGTGTATAGTAATTCGGATTCATGATTGGTGTATCAGATGGTTGGTAGGTGTGAATGAGAATATAATATGTTCGTCTTTATTTATAGAGTTGAACATCTTGTATGCATTTGCCTTTAATTTGGATTTCATTCCACTTTAATTTCAATTTCATTTGACTCCAATTTAAATTTTATTTAACTTTAATTTGGATTTCATTCCACTTTAATTTCAATTTCATTTGACTCCAATTTCAATTTTATTTAATTTTAATATGGATTTCATTCCACTTTAATTTCAATTTCATTTGATTCCAATTTCAATTTCATTTAACTTTAATTTGGATTTCATTTCACTTTAATTTCAATTTCATTTGACTCCAATTTCAATTTCATTTAACTTTAATTTGGATTTCATTTCACCTTAATTTCAATTTCATTTTACTTTAATTTCAATTTCATTCGAATATAATTTGGATTTCATTTTACTTTAATTTGAATTTCATTTGACTCTATATTTTTGCTATAAAAGAATACAACGTTTTTATTATTTCATACCTACCAATTCAAACTATTTCTTATATCTTTCTTATACGATGTCATCATCATCCTCAGACGATTCTGCTTCTGAATTCATAATCAACCATCTCACAAGTAATTTTACATTTCAACTATATAAGGAGCTAAAATGCTTGGAAGCAGAACAGTCAGATGCTGAAAGTTCAAGACGTCCTGGGCAAAGTCGAAGATATATAGATAGAAATCGTGAAGAAGGGCATAAACGTCTTTGGAAAGACTATTTCGATGAGCATCCTGTTTTCCCACCTCAAACGTTTAGACGAAGATTTCGAATGGGGCGAGAACTATTTGTTCAAATAGTTAACGGTATCTCTAACCATTCTATTTATTTTCAACAAAGAAAAGATGCCTTAGGAAACAATGGTCTTTCCCCTTTGCAAAAATCACTGCTGCCATATGCCAGTTGGCATATGGCACAACTGGTGACCTCTTTGATGAATACATACGAATTGGTGAATCAACTTCAATCGAATGTCTACAAAACTTTTGTCGATGCGTGATTGAGGTTTATTCAAGCCATTATTTGAGAAAACCAAATGCTAATGACATCCAAAATTTACTACAAAAACATTCAGAAAAGCACGGGTTTCCTGGTATGCTTGGAAGTATTGATTGCATGCATTGGCCTTGGAAAAATTGCCCGGTTGCATGGCAAGGTCAATATACTCGAGGTGATCAAGGTTGTCCAACAATTATGTTGGAAGCAGTTGCATCACAAGACCTTTGGATATGGCATGCATATTTCGGGGTTGTCGGGTCTAACAATGACATTAATGTACCTAACCAGTCACCGTTATTGAATGATGTATTACAAGGTTATGCTCCTGAATGCAATTTTACTGTTAATGGAAGAACATACACAAAAGGATATTATCTTGCAGATGGTATATATCATGAATGGGCTACAATGGTTAAAAGTTTTCCACATTCAGCCAACCCAAAAAGGGTCAAGTTTAATAAAATGCAAGAGGCTGCAAGAAAGGGTGTGGAGAGAGCATTTGGTGTTCTTCAATCTCGTTGGGCAATTGTACGAGGTCCAGCAAGATCGTGGCAACTTAAAAACATAAAGGATATAATGTATACATGCATTATATTACATAATATGATCGTAGAAAATGAAGGAAATGCAATTAGTAATTGGTTAGATGATGTTGATCCTCCTATACGTGTGAATCGAGGACCTGTCGAAGAAGTTCAATATCAAATTCAAAGAAACTATGAACTACACGATAATGCCGTACAAAATGCTCTTCGACATGATTTAATGGAGCATATTTGGGAACGTTTTATTAATATGTAATATCACTATGTTGTATTATAATAAATAAGATGTTATCTTTTTAAAATGTTTTTAAGATTTATATTTTTTTTATTGTTTAGAATAAAAAATATGAAGTAACTTCATAAATTAAATTATTGAATATATATATATATATATATATATATATATATATATATATATATATATATATATTGTTTATTGTAAAAAAAATATTAAATATTACTTTCTATTGAGAAAGAAAAAAAAAAAAAGTGTTTACAATAAAATGAAAAAAAAAAAAAAAAAATAAGCTTATATAATAAATTGAGAAAAAAAAAACAAAAAAAAACCATACCACGGTTGAATGGGGATTAAACCCCTCATTCAATCAACCCACTCCACAATGGTTTCTATATCCATTCAACTGCCACATAGGTTTTTTTTTTCCCATTAAACTCTCCATTAAATGCCCATTGGAGATGGCCTTAACATGCATGTGCCTACAGTGAACATAGGAGGAAAAGACACACAATGAAGTTTTTTTTTTTTTTTTTTTTTTGGATCTGATTATCTGATTATTATAATTTTTATGTGTGTTCCCGCACGGAGTAGATTTTTTAAATTGTACGTATTTCACACGTTCACTACTAGAAAACTAAGTAATTATCTACAGCAGAATTGGTAGTAAATCCGTAGGAACAAGATGTTACCAACAAATTTCCAACAAAAAACGGTCTGTAGGAAAAACCCTCGTGGATAATTTTTTCCTACAAATTAGCTACAAACGTTCCTACCAGGGCCGTTCCAAACGTATTTTGGACCCAGGACGAGAGAAAAAAAATAGGCCCTTAAAATACATAAATATCATCAAGTTTTTATTATAATAACTTAATAATCAAAAGAAAATTATTTGTGTTATCTTTTAAATATAACAGTTTCCATAAAAAAATTGGACCCTTTTGAAAGATGGGCGCTGGACAGTCGCCCCTATCGCGCACCCTCTGGGACAGGTCTGGTTCCTATAATATCTACGGAACACATTAACTACAGAGTACTTACGTATTACCTACAGGTTATTTAGATACGAAACTCCTACAAAATACATATGGATTATTTTCCTACGGAATACCAACAAAATGATTTTCCTACAGAATACCTATCAACTACTTTACCCACAGATTACCTACCAACATTTTTTTTCCTACGGAATACCTACAGATTTTATTGGATTTTATTTCCTATAGAATACCTACTGAATATTTATTTCCTACAATTTTTTTATGAATTTTTTACCAGTTTTTATTGCTCTATTAAATTTATAATTCCTACAGAATATCTATTTCCTACAATTTAGTCAAAAATCTATTGTTATGTTAAATTTATAATTTAAAAAATATCAAAAAATTTTGCTAAAAAACCGAATAAATAATTAAAATAATAGTCATATACCATTACATTCATTACCATTAAAATAGTTACTAACATACCATTCATACATTCAAATACTCAAAATACCATTACAAAAACTAAGAACAAATCAAACATAACATTAATTTAGTGTTCTAAAACAAAAACTAAGAACTACTTGGTGGATTACTGGACGGATTAATTTGTTTCATAAAGGCCGTCAATTGTCATTACACTTGCAATTCCATTTCATTTTGCATTTGTTGCATTTACAAATTCATTTCACTTTGCTTTTCTTCCATGGCTTGTTCCATGTTTGACATTTGTTGCCGCAACTCATTTACCTAAATATAGCAACACAAACACATGCAGTTAGTACATGTAATTCAACTTTAAACCATGATAGCAATATACTTTACTTTTAGTTCAATATAAAAACACACTATTGATAATAAAAATGTACATTGTTTTTAATATCCATAATAATAACTTTTAATATGCATAATAATAACATAATATATTTTTATCCATTATACCATTGTACTTCACATTTCCAATCCATAATATCAATGTACTTAAATTATTCTCAATAACAACAATTTACTTTACCAAATATCAGTAACAGCAACATACTATAATTTTCACCCATTATAGCATTATTTTTACCTAATTTAATAATAGCAACATAGTATCATTTTCAACCATAATAACAATACACTTTACCTAATATTAATAATGACAATATATTTCAATTTTCACCCGTAACAACGATGTACCTAACCAATATGAATATATTCTTTTTCAGCCATATTAAGTACCTCTTTAATTGATTTTTTTTTCTCTATAATATATTACGTAAATAATAGTACCTTCTGTTGTGACTTTGCAAAGTCAGCAGAAGCTGAAGTTGACTCATAAGAATATGCATCCGTCATCAGAAAGTGAAGATCTGAGTATGCTGCCCCATAGATAGGACCTTTTTGTTTCCCGCATTTCCTAAGCAATTGTGTTTGGGTCCACAATTCAGGATCATTCACATTATGTTGAGTCGGATCATCACCATATTTTTGAGATAAGGTTGTGTTATATGATTCCTACATTATACCAAAAGAAAGTTTTTGTTATTGTACTAAAAAGTAAAAACTAAAATTTGTAAATATATAAAAAGATAAACACAACTTACGATTGCCACCCTACATGTCACATTCACAAAATCCACTGGCGCCTCTTTATCTCCCCTAAAATATATTTTTTTTATTCGGCGGTAAGATGTGTCTTATAATAAAGATCAATGAATGAGGGGTCTTCACCCATCAACTCTTTCTATATAAACGACACAACATAATTGATGTAATTAGTGGTGAAAGAAAAATGTATCACTAAAATCTATAATTAGGATTACTTACCAATTTAAGACGCTGCTCCTCAAATCCAATGCTA